GGGGTTGTTGTTTCCTTTCTAAGACTGGTTGCTGTGGAGGTTTGAGTCAGAGTTCTATTTGCATATGTGGTCTGGTCATTGTCCATTTGTGCATTCATACTCTCAGCCATTAAAGAAATCTCATTACTAGAAACAATGAAATCTGGCCATTTGTAGCAACATGGATGGACCTTGAGGGGGTTATGCTGAGCGAAATAAGTCAGGCAGAGAAGGACAAATATCATATGTTTGCACGTATAGGAGGATTAGGAGGAACTTGACGGAGGAACGAGGGGGAGAAGAAGGGCGGAAATGGTGGGGGAAAGGGAGAGAGGCAAACCATGAGAGACTCTTGAATGCTGACAAAAACTGAGGACTGATGGGTGTGGCGGGGAGGGGGGGATGGGCATGGAGGAGGGCACTTTGGGGATGAGCACTGAGTGTTATGTAGAAACTAATTTGACAATAAACTATTTGTAAAAAAAAAAAAAGATTGTCAACAGCTTTAAAAAAAAAAAAGAAATCTCATTACTATTAAAAATTAAAATCACAGTGATAATATACATTTTAGCCTTTGGTGCTATTTCTGTTCACATTCAGCAAAGTTTAGAAACCAGGTTTAAGTGGGACCTTACTACACCAAACTCTAGAAAGGATTAGCATTTCTAAATCATTAAACAGCTAGGATGCCTGAAATTTTGCTTTTGATTGTCAAGGAGATCTATATACATATATGCACACATACACATCCTAGCATGTCTCTCCAGCAGTATTTGGGAGAGTCATTGAATAAATCCTGTACCTTCTCCTCCTGAGCAGGCTGCAGAGTAGCCTTAATGCAAATTAATCTTTGCAGTTTAGGTCAGCCCTGAAACATTTGGTTTGGGGCTCATGTTTGAAACCTGATCATTATTTTTTTTTGTTCACAGCAGCTTAACATGATATCACTTCTGTTCCATGGTTTTGTTGACTTCTCATTACAATTTTAGCTATTTTACGGTGAGATTGAGATGCTCTCCAGAGTTCCCCAAATTAAACTACAGGTATACTGCAAAGTCCATTTTTAAGTAAGGCCATCTCAAACACATCCTTCAAATTTGCTAACAGTATGTCCAGAATCAGAGTAAACAAACTTCATTCCATTTATGTAGATATAATTCCCATCATAAACTTTGGGTTTTGGACTGCATCAGTTTTCAACCATGATACAGGCTAGTTGTAGAAAAAGGCCTTTTAGGAAAAACTAGCTAGTTTGGGGAGTAGAGACAGAATATTTTAAAAATAAATCTAGTCATCAGGGAAATGCAAATCAGACCTAACAAGAGATAACAACCACTTCACGCCCAGTGGAATGGCTATAATTAAAAAGGTGATAAAAAATGTTAGGATGTAGTGAAACCAGAACCCTCCATCCACTACTGGTGGTAACATGCACACAACCATGAAGTGTGCATTTTATTTTTTTATAAAATTGAAGTTTTATTATTATTTTTATTTCAAGAGAGATAGGAAGTGAGCAGGGGAAGGGCAGAGAGAAAGGGAGACAGAATCCCAAGAAGGCTCCACACTGTCAGCACAGAGCCCAATGCAGGGCTTGAACTCGCGAACTGTGAGATTATGATTTGAGCTGAAATCAAGAGTCAAGTTGCTTAACTGGGCCACCCAGGCACCCCTGAAGTCTACACTTTAGATAGATAAATTGTATGATATATGAATTACATCTCAATAAAGCTGTTAGAAAAATAAAATCACCAAACATTAGAATAACTTAAAGTGCATTTGGGTTCAAATTACAGTCTTTGTGGTTCTTGGGTTGTTTATTAAATCTCATGAGATTATTTTTAGAAGGAAAGTCTGCATAGCATGGTTGTTAAAGAGCAAGGCTTTGGAATCAGACCTGGATCAGTTTGTGGCTTCAATACTTTAAAGCTGTTTGTCTTTGAGCAAATTATCTCACCTCTGGAAGACTCCATTTCCTAAATTGTTGGGGATAATAATACGAGTCTCTTAGGGGTATTGCTAGAGGCCCATAGTTAGTGTGCAGTTAGTGTTAGCCACACTTGATGATAAAACAACAGTTGACTTCCCACTGGTGTGATTATTTGAAACAGGGATAAACAAATCTTTTCTGTGAACAGGGCACAGTGCAGAATAACTGGGATGCAGAGAAGATATTTCATCAAATATTTATGAAGTGGCAAGCACTCAATAGAGGGAGTAGGGGGTGGGGATTGGGGGTGAAATAAGACGTATCTCTTTCAGGAGTTTACTGTCTGCTAGGTTGCACTCTGTACAGATTATTTTAATATTAATATGGTTTTAAGATATGAGTTTTTACCAAGTATACAGGAACAACAGGAGAGGCCAGTGAAAGGAATTCATGGGCAGGTACATTAGAGAAGACGACACTCAAGCTCACTTTTGAAGAATGAGAAAATTTTGCTTGTAAAAGGCCAAAGGGCTTCCCTAGCAGCAAAAACAGTGCAAGCAAATGCCTAAAAAGCCTATTTATATGTCAGCTCTCAAACTCACATCTCCTAAATTCCAGGCTTTTATATCTAGTGCAAACTCAAAACCTTCACTTGGTTTTGGCTCATAGGCTTCTTTTTTTTTTTTTTTAAATATTTTTTTTTATTTATTTCTAGGAGAGAGAGAGAGAGAGACAGCGTGAGCAGGGGAGGGTCAGAGAGAGAGGGTGTCACAGACTGAAACAGGCTCCAGGTTCTGAGCTGGCAGTCAGCACAGAGCCCGACGCGGGGCTCGAACCCACAAACCGCGAGATCATGACCTAAGCGAAAGTCGGACGCTTAACCGACTAAGCCACCCAGGCGCCCCAGGCTCATAGGTTTCTTAAACTCTCCCTCACCACATGGTCCGCTGATAGCTTTCCTCATCTCCAGTGATGGCAACTCTAACCTTCTGTTTGCTCCTGCCAGAATCCTTGGGGTTACTCTCAACTACTTTCTTTGTTTCATTCCCACAATCGACTTATCAGGAAATCCGCTTGGCTCTACCTTTAAAATATAGGCAGACTCTGAGTTGTCAAACCTGTTACTGCTACCGCCCTGGGCTGAGTCACTATCAGCTCTTGTTCACTTCTACTTGTGCCCAGGTACATTTTTTTCCCCCTTTCATAGTTTATTGTCAACCAGGTGCATTCTCTAGACAGCACCCAGAGTGATTTTTTTTTTTACATAGAAATGCGATCGTGATACTTCTCCGCCTAAAACTTCTATTTCAGAATGAAAGCTGGGGTCCTTGCAAGGGCCGACAAAACCCTTCCATGATTTTGCCCCACACCTCCCTTTGCCTTTCTATTCACTTATTCACCCTTGACTTCATTTGGCCCTCTGATTTTGGTTGGTCACAGTAGTGGTTTACGGTTTTATTTTTCTCCTTGTACTATTGAAAAGAGAATATAACTAGGCAGATGCTATGGTTTCTTGCTCTACAAGCACCCCTTGTGTGACTCCTTGCTTGTTTAAGAATTCACGTACCTGTAGGACCCCGGCAGGCTTGGATGTCCTCCATACCTAGGAGGAGGCAAATGCGGAGCCACTGAATGTTTCTAAAGTAGGTCATATTTGCATTTAGATTGTTTCACTTTCAGCATGGGGAATGGATTGAAGGGGGAACTCCAGTGCAAGCAAACAGTGGAAGAGGGACATTTGGGAAGTTTCTTCAGCACTCCAAATAGGGCCTGTGCTAAGGCGATGGTTGTTCATGGGAGTAGAGAGAAGATTCCAGATTCTAGAAACACTTTAATGTAGAATTGACAGGACCTAGTGCTTGGCTAAATACAGGGTTTCTGGCTTGAGTCACTTGGTAAATGAACTTACTGAACACGGGATTTACCAAGAAAGATGAAATTCGAAGATAATGAATAAAGAAAATGTAGATATCCTTTCGAATATGTTGATTTGAAAGCATCCAAGGAAGAACTACCACCGTGTATGTACAGCAAGCAACTGGATTTCGGGTTCTTAGGCTCGGGGGAACCTGAGGTGGAAATCTGGTTGGGCGGGAAACTGGAGTTCACGTGACTTTCCTAAAAATCTCCTTCCCCTCTTCCTCCTAATCCTAAACTAGAAGTACCGTTTTTCTTTTTTTTCGAATTTCACTTTTTAAAGTCTCCGGAATACACACTATGTGCATACTCAATTTATTGAGTCAACATCCTCCGCGGTTAATTTTTAAACCTTAGATATCTTGAAGATGCCACAGTCATGGGGCACCTGGGTGGCTCAGTCGGTTAAGCGTCTGGCTTCGGCTCAGGTCATGATCTCACGGTTCGTGGGTTCGGGCCCCCTGTTGGGCTTTGTGCTGACAGCTCAGAGCCTGGAGCCGGTTTCAGATTCTGTTGTCTCCCTCTCTCTCAGACCCTCCTCTGCTCATGCTGTCTCTCTCTCTCTGAAATAAATAAAATTTAAAAAATTTAAAAAAAAATGCCTCAGTCATAACCGACTGGAGCAAAAATGTAGGGGCAGGTCACGTTCCTAAAGCACACGAACATGTAACTTTTTGTACAGGCATCTGCACACAGCCGACGGTGAGCTCCGGCGCCGTGTGTGGCTCTGCCCCCTTCAGTATCAAGAACACTCCTGGCGCCCCCACTCCCCCTTTCTTCCACCTTTTCTCAGGACCAGCCCATCAGGGCCGCTCTCCCGCCCCCACTCGCCAGCGGGTCCTTTCTTACTAGGAGCCACCACATTTCCTGGACGGGGCGGCCGGGATTTTGCTTTGGGGGAACAGGCCCGAGTCGCGGTTACCACAGGAACTAGGCCCCTCCGGGGAAGGCCGCGCGGGGTCCGCAGCCCCTGGCGGCGGCGCCCGCCCACGACGCGGAGGAGGCCGGGCCGCGACGGCCCGCATTGTCTCAGCTCCATAGCAACTCCGCCGCGGCGGGGGCCACGCGCGCGGCTCTGCGTCGGCGTCCGCTCCCCGTAGGCGTCCGCTCCCGTCCGGCTCGCGTCCGGCTCCCGCTCCCGGGGAGAGACGGGCGCTGCCGGGCGATGGCGCCCTGACCGGCCAGCGCGGGCGCCGGGCGCGGGAAACGGCGGCGGCATGCCGGAGAAGCGGCTCACCGCCGGTAGGTGCGGCGGCGGGGGACCACACACCGGCCTCCGGGCTCGACCTCTCCTCCCCCGACAGCCCCGCTTCCGGGCTTTCCCAAACCTGCCTCCACTGCGGCTCTCTCGTAGCATTACGACCCCCCCACCCCCACCCCACCCAGTCGCCCCTCAGCCCCGACCCCTCCCCCCTTTGCGTTGCCTCGTTGGCACCGTCTTATTTTGTCTTGCTTAATTCTCCGTTTTGCAGCTGGAATAATGGAAGCCTACAAGGTTAACTCCGAGGTCACAGTGAATTAGTGACCAAGCTGGATTCCAGAGGCCTTTCCTCCCCACTTCCACCTTGAATTCCAACTTAAAATTCAATCCATGTGCAAAGAAGGAACAGAGGGCCAAACTTTTAGGGAGCTCGCCCATGTATAAAGCAGGGCTAGGTGCAGTCTCAAATTATTTCATTTACTTTAGAAGGAAATCAGCGTTGAGTGAGATAATGCCATGTTTTATCTTGTTTCAGAGCCACCAGATATTACGGAAGAAGAATTTGTAAGTACAATTAGCGGGCTTCCCCCCCTCCCCCTTGGCTCTTTAAAAATAGCAAATCATAGATTGTAGAAGAAAGCTATAGGATGTCTTTTCTCCTTCTTGCCGGATGAATATAATAGAAGCTTTGGTTTGGCAACAATGGTGCTGAGTACAAGACCTTTTTACATCCTTTAGCAGGTACATTTTTAAAGGTCAATTGATTTTTATTGTGGTTGCTATTTACTGTTAACATTCTTTTACATAAATGACCTCATTTAATTTCTCTAAACTCTTTAATGGCTCCATGAGAGGGAGATTTTATCTCTGGTTTTATTGTGATGTGGCTGTGCAGCTGATTGAAAACAAGTGGTCAATTTATACTGATAATTACTTAAAAAGTATACTAAGTGGGGGCACGTGGGTGGCTCAGTCGGTTAAGCGTGCGACTCTTGGTTTCAGCTTGCCTCATGATCTTGCAGCTTCATGGGTCCAAGCCCCACCTCAGACTCCGTGCTGGCAGCCCAGGGCCTGTTTGGGATTCTCACTCTCTCTTCTCTGTACCCCTCCCCCACTTCCACTGTATCTCTCTCAAAATAAATAAACTTTAAAAAATAAAAATGTACTAAATGCTCTGAGGTCAGACTTCTGGTGAGTTTGAGTAGTAACAAGTACTTTGCTAAGCAGTACATTATATACTTTGTCATTTAGGTGAGTGCTATATCTAGGATGGGTTCTATTATAATTCCTGTTGTAAATTTAAGAAACTTGCTCAAAGGTAAACAGTTAGGAGGTAGCAGAGCCTATTTCCTACTAAGGTCTGAGTTTGATTCCAAGAGCTCTATCCACTGGAGAGTCCAAGGATAGGCTGCTCCAAGATGGGTCACTTTGGCATGAAGATTATTTTGGATTAAAAAGCAGTTGAAACCCAGCAGATTCAGGAAAAGCTCTTAACCTCTCCCATAACTGCTTAAAAAGAATTTAGGTAGAGGACCTGCACTAGGAAGGGAACTGTGACCGCAAAGAACCATAGTATGGCATGAACTAGGAAGGGTGGACAGGGAGGGACCGAGCAAGGCCTGTTTGATCAAAGTCCTCCATGTCGCATTGTTTCCAAGTGTCCCTGGCACACATTTGTTTACCAAACATTTACTTTTTTTCATTTTCCTGTGAATTGCATTCTTTCCCTTTGAAGTCCCAGACCCTTGCCCCCTTCTTAGTTCAGAATGTCCAAGATGCCTCATTTTGCCTATCTTTGGAATTTTCATGTCTTGGTGGAGTCCCCATATGTATACTGTTAAACCTGATCTTCTGTTAATCTGTCTCATGTAAATTTAATTCTTAGTCTAGCTGGAAGACCTTGAGGGCAGAGAAGAACTTCTCAAAAGACAACTTTTCCTTCTCTTTACCATTTCTCGTTATTATTTGCTTATGTCTTCTGGTACTTATTTCTCTTGTTGGACAATTATCTTATTTGCTTTTGGCTTTTTATTCGACAAACACAAGTGCCTCTATATCTACAGTGCAGTGCTAGATGCTGAAGATAAGTCTCAAAAAGTTTACTGTCTAGCAGGGAGGGGCTGTGAGAGGAGAGGGCTAAAGCTACGTCTGCTAGCACCTTCCATTTTCACCCTTCCACACCTTTGGTCCACTTCTGAGAGACACAGACAGACTGACATCAGGATAGAGGCACAAACAGCATGTCAGAAACTCCACCATCTTCTCATTGGCTTGGGTATAAAGGTTGCTTTTTAACCCTGTGTAGTGGCAGTTCTTTAAGCTGCTTTCAGAACTGTTCTTCATTCCAGCAGGAGGTCAGCATTTTCAGTTTATTTATTTGTTTTGAGAGAGAGAGAGCGAGCCAGAAAGGGACAGAGAGAAGGAGAGAGAGAATCCCAAGCAGACTCTACACTGTCAGCAGAGCCTGACGTGAGGCTTGAACTCACAGACTGTGTGATCCTGACCTGACCTGAAATTGAGAGTCTGATGCTTAATTGACAGAGCCACCCAGGCACCCCTGGAGCCAATCTTTTCCATACAATTCCAGCCTCAAATCTCTGAGGGGCACTCAGCAGCATTGCCTTTAACCATTTGAGCAGACTGCTGACCCCTTCAGGTCTTTGGAGCTGTTTGGGACTCTTAAGACTGTATTAGCCACCCATTTTTCTCTTGGAGTCTCTGATACCACCATCTTTTAGTTCTCCCATCTGTCATGTCGATGTTACCATTTCTGGCTTCTCTTTGTTCACGAAAGCGTTGGCCTTCTTAAGGATTCTGATCCAGAGGCTCTCTCTGAGGGAGCCCTTCTTTTCCTATAGTTTTAGCCACCTTTATTTCACAGGGCTTCCAGATCTATACATCTTCAACCCAGACACCTTTTCTGATGGCAGAACTCTCTATCTGTTGTATCATCAGGCACCTTCATCATCTGGATGTCCCTACGTCACCTCCACAGTTACATTTCACATATATTTACCTCTGTTTTTCAAGAGGGTGATAAGGTGCACTTTATCTCTCTGCTCCCCTCAGCCCCATGCTGTTTTTCTTCCTCTTTTTCTTGTTTTGGTGAATGGTGCCACTGGCCATTGAGACATTCAAGCCAGAACCTTTCTTCCCCTTTCTTTACCTCCCGCCTGCAATCATTTACCAAGTTCCTTTCATAGCCAGATATTTTTCTCCATCCTCACAGCTACTGTCTTATTTCAGGCCCTCATCCCTGGGCTCGGACTTTGGCAGTAGTCCTAACTGATATCACTGCCTCCAATATTCCCTCTGTCGAATCCAATTTTTCTTGGCCGGAAGCTTAAAGTTCAAACTCCTGAGCATTGACTGCGCTGGATGATATTTCTTTGCTCTGTCTACCTTTAGATTTTCCTTCTTCCATCCCTTCTACGCTGGCTGAAAGATTGCTATTACCTCTATAAAAAAAATTACCGTATTACTTGATTGCTCAGCTCCTTTATTAATCCTACTATTTATTGAATGTTGACTACATGCTGTTATTTAATCTCAAAACAACTACATTGGGTTGTTATTATCACCTACTGTTTCACAGATGAGGAAGTTCAAGTCCACAGTGCTTAACCAACTTGGCCTGAGGCCATCTAGTAACTGAGGCAGAGCCAGAGTGTCAAACACCTCCCTTTGGCATTCACAATATTTTCTATAACCTTTCAGCCTTTTTAAGCCTTCCCTCCCACTGCTTTCTGTGGGATAGACAATGTTCATACTGTTTGGGAGATTATAAAGTACTTCCACATACCGTCTGCCCCAGCCAAACTGCCCTTCTTGCCTTTGCTGTGGAGTTTTGTCTCGGTTACCCTTTCCATCTCTTTCCCAGTCTTGCATACCCTTCAGGGTCCAGCTCACCTCGTCTGTGAAACCTGTCCAACCTCAGATCATTCAGACTGCCTTTGAACTCCTTGCAGCTCACGGTAGAGACCAGTTTGTGACCAGCTCCCCAAATTCATGTGCTCACCAAACATTATCTATAGATGAAATTATTCACACCTTGTACACATGTTTACCTCTGTGTTTTCAAAAGTGTGAAAATATTTTTTTCTCATTATTATTCATAGAAAAATAATGTGGCAGAGCTCTCTAGTTCCCCTAAATCCATTCTGTCCTTCTACACAGTAAATACTAGATACGTTGTTCTCCATATTAGACTAAATTTTCTAGTGTTCCTTGCAGGTAAATGTGGTCATGTAACCAGATTGTGGTCAGTAGAATGTAAGCAGAAGTGTCATGTCCCAATTCTGGAAAGCTGACGTTTATAGAGATTAAATAACCTACCCCTAGGTCACACACCTAGTACCTGGCCAAGCCACAGTTAGAATCTGACCCACTCTGGCTCTAACACTCACATAATGTAAAAGGAGAGAACATGCCGTTTTTCTTCTTTCCTGCTGGCTGGAATGAGGATGTGATGCTGGAGCTGAAGCAGGCAGCTGGGATCATGAGGTTGAAGTGGGATCTGGAGCATGGCCAGTCCTCCATCACACGATCGTAAGGGCCTGAGCACCTGATGTTGGAGAAGCCCCAAGGCCAGTCCTGAACCGCTTTTTATTATATGAGAGAAATAACCTTATCTTATAAACAGTGTTCTTTCAGGTTTCCAGTATTGACAGCAGAGTCATATGCTACTATAAAGTGTTCCTATATTCCTAGGAACTTTTCTCATACTGTATTTTCTCCATCAGTGCTCTAAAAATACAGTGCTGTTGCGGACGTCTGTAAAATACTTTAACTTTTACATGAGATCTTCAGCCTCAAAGGAGACAATAACTCTGTTAGGATAAATCATTTGTTGTCAGCGATACACTGCCTTGTATATATCTTAATATTTCATATGTAGAATTTGCAATTTCTCAACAAAACTGGCAACTATTACAGGGCTGGCACTATGTCTCAGTGCATCTTCATATTCCCTAGAGTGTAAAGCACAATGTCCAGGATATACTGTTACGTGATTAGTAAATTCTGGTGCATGGATATCTTCATGTATGATCACTAGTGTGATTTGTTCCACTTATTTTAATTTAATTTTGTTATATTATTTTTATTAAACAACTTTTACAGTTGACACACGATGTTACATTAGTCTCAGGTATACAATGTAGTGATTCAGCTTCTCTATACCTTATGCTATACTTCACTTTTTTTGTGTGTGCAAAGTTTATTTGATATATATTTTTAATGTTTATTTATTTATTTTGAGAGAGAGAGAGCATGAGCAGAGGGAGAGAGAGAATCCCAGGGTCTCCACACTGTCAGCACAGAGCCCAACGCAGGGCTCAAGTTCACGAAACCGTGAGATCATGACCTGGGCCAAAATCAAGAGTCGGATGCTTAACTGATTGAGCCGCCCACAAGCCCCTATAGTCTATATTTCTTTAACACCTCTCTGGTGGCATTTTTCTACTTTAGTATCTTTGTTAACTTTGTATTTGTTTGATTTTTGGTACTTCACTTAGGGAAAATATATACAAAAAAACCTTAATACACTCTATTTTCTCCTTAGT